GCAGGGAGGCTACAACGGGTTCTTCATTTAACTCTCTGGAGTCTAGGGGTAGGGAACACACTTTTACTGACTGGGGCATGGTCACACATTTCATTCAATATCATAAACTTAATTCATGGCAAATAAATTTCTTATATATTTATTTTGGCATTAAACACACCTTAATCTTAGTGTACTTTGTAAATATGTCAGATTTATGTGAAGATTTATTTGACATCAAAGTATAGACATTGCAAAATGCAGTTTGGAACACCTGCAGAAACATTATAAAAGTACATAGTAAGCAATGGAGGAAGTTTGTTTTGATCCCAGATATCTGATCACCAAAGTCTAGGCTAGACTAAATGGTGTAGTTGCAACATTCAGTTGGATAAATAAATAAGAAAAACCTAACTCATGTCACTATTTCTGGCTCCTTTCATTGAATATGTAGCAACTTTCATGTGTATGAATGAGCCATTCACACCTGGCTACACCCCCCCCACCCCCTTTATGGGATGTACCTGGATTGCGTTTCACCGTTGTGTTCTTCATCAAATTACCGTACGAATGTGATTTAAATACACAGTAATGCGGCTATTTAGAATGTGAATAGCAATATTCAGGTGAGAGCGGCACTACATGCCCCTGATGCAGGTAAAACAAGGTAAGGTGACATGATTTACTTTTCTGCCGTGTGAACTGGGGATTTTGCCATCTTGCTCATTTGACTTCCTCTGCTGCCACCTGTAGGATGGGCTCCTCCTTTCAGTCTAGGATGTTTTTCCTTGCTACTGTCGCCTATGGCTTGCCCACTGGGGGCTTTGGGCAGGGATAATGTAAAGCGCTTTGAGACAATGTCATATTGTAAAAATGTGATGTACAAATAAAATTTAATTTAATTAATATTTACTGTTCTGACAATAGTTGGAAGTGCGTGGATCATTGCGGAAGCAATAAATTCAATTTATTTTTATATAGCGCCTTTCACAACAGAGTCGCCCCAAGGATGGATGTGTTGTGATACATAAACATCCACAAAAACAAACAATACACACCAAATGCAAACTATAATTAGAGAGAGATACAGAACAGGAAAAAGGAAGGATAGAAATTAAAGAAAGCCAGAAGACAACAGGGGAGAGGAACCAAAAACTTCTAAGTAAGGAGAAAAAAATCTCTGGGGGTCCAAGGTCAACTGGCTGACCAACCCCCCTGGGCATACTAATATTACTGAAAACAGAAAACATGTTTGCAAAAGGTAGGTATAAGCTGTGATCAAGAATGAAGACAAAGTCCATCAATGAGTCTGTTATCCATGTTGGCCTGAGAAGGTTGGTCAAAGTCCATCAATAAGTCTTTTCTCCACGCTGGGTCAGGTGGCCATGAAGGCTGCACCCACAATGATACAGTTCGTAGGTCCCATTCGCGATGTCACCATTCCATGGGACTGAACCAGGACTCTAGCTCAGATGGTGCCCACCCCAGGCACCATCCGGACATATGGGAAGGCAGAGAGCATGGCATCAAATATCAACATATTTTGCGTTTGTCGGGTTCTAAGGGTAAGTATAGCAGATGCTTTTGTCCAAAGTGATGTACAAGTGAAGATCAGTGAACAGGGTCAGCCAGGTCCTGGAACAGTAGGAGTTAAGGACCTTGCTCAAGGGCCTAATGGTGACATCACTTCGCTAGACACAGGATTTAAACTAGTAACCTTCTGACAGTGAGAGGGGGTCCTAACCTGCAGACTCTAATGATACTTGGACCATGAACCTGCTGATCACTGAATTAAGATACATTAATCTCATACATACACCAGAAGTCACTGCTTCAAACAGAATGTTTACAGAATCCCATAACACAGGTTTAGGCAACAAGTCTCTGTTTAAACCCCAAAATCATCATCATCTATTGGTCCCCTGCAATCTGGAAACCAATTCCAAGATACCAAATATCTCTGCCTTTTTCCAAGACCAACTATGGTGCTACCTCTAGCACAACCTTCACATGTAAGTTTACTACTACCACTCATCACTGGATCTGATCCAAGTACCAAGGACATTGCCTCCATACCCATATCACACACCATGTCCAACACTCTGCCTGGCACTGTCCGTGTTTATGGTTTGGTCGGTACCATCTCTTCCAGTTTCATCAATGATCATGCCACTTTCTTCATCTTTATATCCATCTTCAATCCATCTCAAGATGTCACCATCTCTGGGTCGAGCTCCAGCCCAAACTCAAACATAATCTCCTGTTTCCAGATGATCTAATATAACTAGTGCTGTCAAACGATTAAAATTTTTAATCAGATTAATCACAGGGTTGCTGTGGATTAATTTCGATTAATCACGATTAAATATCGAAAATATTTAACTTGTTTATTGAACATCTTGAACATGAGTCGGATGCATTCCATCTGCCACAGAAGTACAATACCATGGACGCATATCGAAAGTTTTTTTGCTTAGCCGGACAACTTGTCGGATTTAAGGTACCTCAGTTTAAATGGTCTCATCTTTGTTCACTTACAATTAGCCAGAACTACCGTAAATCCGACAAATAATCCGACTAATCATGAAATCCAATTCTAGCCCGGTTAATTGCCATTGTTAGCAATATCAGTTGATAACACATTACGCGCGGTGCTTTACGTATAAAACTCCATAGCAACATGTCCACAGATAAGTTGGACGGTATAGTATGTGCGACCGATTTAATGAGCCACAAATGAGAAGTAGTGCTTAAACAGTATAAAACTACAACTTTCCCTTCTGTTGATAAAAGGCCCAGCCATCTTGGATTCTGAACTCGGGATCCTCTGTGCTGCTCCAAGATATTTCTTGGATCTCCGAGAAACGGGAGTGCACATGCCGTCACTTCCAGCTTCAAATACGAGTTCCCAGGGCAAAAGGAACGCAACAAAACTGCCCGAAATGGGTTGACAGAGACATTTCAAGGATTTTGAGTCATTCTGTGCATCAGATGGGTTAATTGCGTTAAAAATTTTAATCAGATTAATCATGATGATGGATTAATCTGCGTTAACCCGTTAATTTCGACAGCCCTAAATATAACCAAAAAAATTATCCTAGTTCCCCTTTACCAAAATTCTTATAATCTCTCAAAATTCTAAGTACACTTGGTCCTCTGTATCAGTGGGTTCAATGAACCGCAGATGAAAAACACTTAAATAAATAAATAAATAAATAAATAAAAGCCCAGAAAGTTCCAGGAAGCAAAACTTGAATTTGCTGCTCGCCAATCAAATGCCTTCACTATGCTGAAAGGTATGCTATTATAATTTTCAGTCATGTGTGGGAGCAGCTAGGAAGTTAATGTGGCTTCATTCATTTTTCCCACTCCTAGTGTTCTGGTTTGCCACACTGATGAGCTGGAGAGACTCTCCTTTCTCTTTTACCCACACTGCTTTATTGTGCAGTTAGCAATGGAATCTGGTTAAAATTCAATATATGATCTTGAGACTTTAGAGTGAAGTCATAAATTTTTTTTTTACATGGTCATTTATTTGGCTGCTGTATTTTCCCTTGTTCTTCACGTTGTATTAGGTATTATAAGTTATCTAGAGCCGATTAAAAGTATACGAGAGGATGTGCATAGGATACACTGTTTAACATAAGGGACTTGATCTGTGGATTTTGGCATCTGTTTGGCGTCCAGGAACCAATCCCTGTGGGTACCAAGGGACAACTGTACTTCAGCTACTTTAAGTGTTTTCAGTTTAATGTCTTTTTTTTATAATCCGAAAAACTTGTTCAAATTCTTGACATACAGCATTCTTTATTTGTCAGCTATGGGTCACTGTTTCCTTCTTTAGCCTAGCTCTGAGATCTAGGATTGTGCACCATTCAGAATTAAATTAAGAATTGACATTTTCCTGACTTTGAATTGAATTTGAATTACAGCTAAGACCAGGATGTATTGTAATTTGAATTTAAGGAAATATAACTAAATTGGAATTGAATTCAAACATACATACAGTACAACAGTATACATACAACAGTGCTAGGAAGTTTGTGAACCCTTTAAAATCTTCTCTAATGCTGCATAAATATGACCTAAAACATGATCAGATTATCCTAGTTCAAAAACTAGATAAAGAGAACCCAATAAAATGACACAAAAACTTTATTCTTGTTCCTTTATTTACTGAAGAAAATAACCCGATGTCACATATATGTGTGTAGGAAAAGTATGTGAACATTTGCTGTCAGTAACCCTATCCATGAACACTCACGAAGGAAGCTACTGCAGAATCGTCACAAAAGGTAATGCACAAAAACAGTTAAATATACAAAAACAATGTATTTGTGTCTATGGAAAAGAACTTAGAGGACCAACAAGCTAAATGTATATTTATAGGATAAAAATACAGATATTTTTTTCCCTTATAATCAGGCAAATATAAAATACACTTTACCAACTGGTATACAGCCTCACTGTATACATCCACTATCTAGAACAGGGATGGGTAACTTTAGTCTTCAGTTGGGCCATAAAATTTATTAACAGCTATGATGGGGCCAGTCCGATTTGTCTAGTCGGGGGAGTTCCATCTATATCCAGAATAGCCACCCTGGTACTGGCCCAGCACATGGAAGTAATATAAAATTGTACTGCAACTGTTATAATCGTATTTATTTTGTGATACAATATATTGTATTTACAACTGACCACTACAGTTTTCTGCAGTTATGCTCCAGAACATCTTAAATCAGCAGAAAATAACTCAAATACATTGGTATACTTAGTGTTGTCTAAGTAGGCTTGAACAGTGTCTAGTTTTGCCACCATAATTCCACCAAAGCTTATGTCTAACCAAAAGATTGTAAATTCACATAATACAACGCACAACAGAAAACAGAAAGCGCTAAAGACAAACATGCTTTACATTTCCAACTCCCCCTAGTGGTCAGGCAGCGTGATGCACTAGTACTCATTTCAAAGAAAAAGAGTAGGGAGGGCCAGATGCAGCCCGTGAGCCACCAGTTGCCCATCCCTGATCCATAAAGTATTATTATTTGTGCTTTGCTAGATCACAGTTTTGTTTTTTTTTTTTTAACTGAAATTAAATCTTATTCCTGTCATTACAAATCAAATTTTAATTCATGAATGGAATTCTTATATACTTTTTATAAATTCTAAATTTTGCATGACCCTGCTGAGGATGACTGGTCCCTTGTGTGTACAGACACCTCCTCATAATGAACACAGCTGGATATAGAGCAGCATGAAGTGATTTATGTTGTGTCTGGATTCTTGAATGATAAAACTTTAAAATAAAATTCCATCCAGCCATCAATCTATCCATCCCATGTGCAAATACCCTGTGCACTAAGGCTAGGTAATATGGCAAAATATTTAATCATAATATTTTTTATATCAAATGATGTCATAATATAATCCAAATAATTGCCCTTACAAAGATAAAAAACATGAAAAAGCTAACAAATTGAATGGACTGCACACTAAAATCAAATTTTAATAAATAAATTATATGAAAATACACTTTTTTGTCGTAGGGCATAACACTAGAAAACGCTGACAATAAATTTTGATGCTAGGTTTTGTATACATGTGTGTGTATGTGTGTGTAGGTGAGAGAAAGCTGGCTGCAAAGGGCAGCCACCTGTTGTGGCACCCAGGAAGCTGGAGGTTAAGGGTCTTGCTCAAGGACCCGCAGACATGGCAAGGCTGAGCTGGGCTCAAACAGGTGACCTTCTGATCACAGGCATAGAGGCTTAGCCCACTGAGCCACACGCTGCCCCAACACAAATCACAATGTTTTCAGAGATTTTCACAATAATTATCACAATATTCTAAACTTCATATGTAGAAAAGTAAAGTATGTCAGGTACTTTTGTGTTTTTCTGATTATGATGATCAAATTGTTTTACTAATAGTTATAGAGCATTTGACAGATACAATGATAAATTACACCAGCAACAGACTCATACCTTGAGGGAATTTGTGTAAAAATAGGCATAATAACTGTTAATCATGCAAGACAACTACTTGATGACAGTACAAATGTTCGTAATCATGCCCTACTGGGATGTTAAGTAGTAAATAGACTTATATTTTGAGATGATGTGGGAATGTTTGTCACACCTTCATGAAAACAGTGAGTGATGTTTGCTGCCTTAGTTCTGGGTCAGGCCACATCCTGGCAAGTAGCCTTGGGGAAGGCATATTTCAGGAGGGGAAAAGGCCCCCTGCTCATCAGGTGTACATTTTCTTCATTTTAAGCTGAGAGAAAAAGTTGTTTTGCATGTTTGTTCAGCTTGCTGAACCCAGTTCTTCATGATTCCTCCAGCACACATTGAGCTATCCCAGTACTCAAAGGGACACTGAACAGTTTTTATAAACATAAAACCCTGGACAGAGGGGTTCGGTGAATGAGGAGGTGAACCTGTACAGGAAGGTCAGTCCATCAGGGGAGACTCTGTAGAAGGACAGAGTACCAGCCTCCCAGTCCAGATACACCCCAACTCTGTGGGAACCTGAGGGCTGTATGGGTATGACAGTCCATTCATTATTGTGCCGGACATAGTAATCATGAAGAGAACAGCATAGAATCCATGACTTGTCATTGACCCCAAGCCAACAGTCATCACTGTCTCCTTTCCTCTTGATTCCTTTATAAGTTACTCCTATTTCAGCTCGATCTCCACTCCATTCAGTCTCCCAGTAACAGCGACCAGTCAGACTCTCTCTACACAGAACTTGGTACCAGGAGTCAAATCTCTCTGGATGATCAGGATATGGCTGCTCTGCCCCACATGTCACCTTTCTGTTCCCCCCAGACAGAGACAGGAGTCTGTGTGCTGTGCTGGGATCCAGTGTCAGCTGACAGGAGTCTGTAGGCAAGAGGAAGAGCAATTAATACCATCAGGAAGATCAGCATCTCCATCATTTTATTACTGTCACAAAACACACTCTAACACTGAACTTTAGTTAACCTCAATACACACATTTTTTTCAATATACTCTTAAATGAACACAAAGATATTACTAGATTTGCATAGCAAATATTCCAGGGTCCAAACACCCCGAGGTGGTCAGAAACCACACAGGGCCCTTCAAGAAGCCAAAATGCGTTGCCTAAACAAATGACTCATTGCTTGTATACCTGAACAATGGAGAGAAGTCAATTAGTATACTGCAGGCCTACATTTTTCACCTGTGTTACGTTTGTTATGGGTCACCTGTTTTGTGAGATTTTATTTGGCCTCTTGTGAGTATTTTTCCAAACATTTTGTTAAAGCACACTCATACACCATGTTTAGAAAGGTTAGTTATGGTTTACATCAACAGCATTGTCCCTTCCCCTACCAGGCAAACAGGTGAACAGAGGACAAAATCTGCATTAATTAAACACTGCTTGAAATCACCTGAAAACCTAATGGTTCCCATGTTAAATGTAGCTCTGCATTCAATACAATCATCCCCAATAAGCTGAGCACATAGCTCAGTCCCCCCTCCTCTATGCCTGACCACACTTCTAACACCATCATCAAGTTTGTGGGCGACACCACAGACTTTGGCCCAATCACAAATGATGATTAGGCAATCTGTATGGAGGAGCTGCACAACCAGATAGAGTGGTGTGAAGACAATAGCCTGTTTCTGGCAGTCAATTTCTACTAGAAAGCCTTCTGACATACTGCATTACAGCTTGGCACATTGGCTGCACTATGCCTCACATGAACTCTACAGCAAGCCACCAAGACAGCCCAGTGCATCAGAAACACAGAGACTGAGGACATTTAGAAAGTGTGCTGTGGGAGTCAACATCATCAAAGACTCATCCCACTCAGCAGGTTCAGGAACAGTTTCTTTCCAAGGGCCATCTCAGAAATGAACTTCAAGAACCAAAGTATACATCTTGCATAAATAGCACAATAATGGACCATTGCAATTTCACAGAGATCACCATTCATTGTACAAAAAGCAAGTATGTGACAGTATTGGGAACCAAGACTCACTCTGTCATCATGTAATCCAAAGTACAGTGGTACCTCAGTTCTCGAACTCATTAGAACTCAAATTTCTTAAAAGTCGAACCAACCACTTCGAAAAAAAATTACCTAGAACTCGATCTGAATCTCAGAAGTCAAACCGTGAACGCACACCTAAGATAACTTGTACGTGCGGGGAAATGAGTCACGCGGCACGTCTCTCAGCGGAAACAAAGGGTCACGCTTTAGTCTCAGCCTTGCATTCGCTGTGATAGCATCGTGTATGTTTACACTAGTTGAAAACATGGATTTAGACAGTAAAAATACATTTAGACAATGATAAACAGTAACAGTAATTATTATTATATAATAAATACATTTAAAAATAAAGATTTCTTATGAATTATTTTAATATTAATAATAAAACATTAATACATTTAACTGTGATAATATTGTCATGCCCAGCGGGGACGGAACGGAGACAAAGGGGCAGATGTCAGGGTATCGGGAATACGGGGTTTAATAACAGGTAAGGCAGGCAAAACGCAGACGGACAATACAATGACCAGACTGGGGAAACAAACTGAAACGCTGACTAAATGACGACAAGCAAAAACAGCTGATCACAGGGGGATTCCACACGGGGTTAACGAGGTGGCGTGGTACATGGAAGGCACGGACGATTGGGGCAGGACACATTGTTTGGATACATTTATTTTCTTACTTTAAAATATCTGTTTTGATAAATGTGCTTAGAGTTTAGTACAGTATATGCTTTTCTTGTTTTGTCCGGTTCATTTTGTGTTTAAATGCTAAAAAAACAACATATTTAGGTGTCATTTTTTGGGGCCGGGAACCAATTAATTGGTTTTCCATTATTTCTTATGGGGAAAATTCAATCAGAACTCGAACTTTTTAGGATTTGATCCGGAGTTCTGAACGGATTAAGTTCGAGTTCTGAGGTACCATTGTACTTCAGTAACATTTCCAAAACTCTCTAAGCCCACAGATAGGGTACTAACTTATGAACATTTCGGATCCGGGTATCCCATGGACTGAGTGAGTTTTGGAAATTTACTCTTTGATTGCTCCTTGTTGAAGGAAAAGAGAATTGGGATTGAATTGGAATTACAGGAAACAGAACTGAAGTCCACTAAATTACAAGAAATTCCGCCTCGAAGAGGGTGACTTGATTTAGTAAATATTAGACATGTATTAAGTACCTTTTACAATAATAAACATCATAAATACATTTGATCATAATTTGTTCCATATTCCAACTTGTGCAAAATATTTACCAAATTATTCATTATTTTTTGCTGTGAAAATGCAAGTCTGTGCATTGATCCTACTGCAAAATTATTGTGCTGGATAGTTATTTTGTTTTGAATCTGATTAAAATACATTATCTAGAATCCATGGGCCATTATTCCTTTAAAAAAAAAAGCCAACTGTGCCTTTGTTGAAATTATGAGGTGGTTTAGCGTGTAGAAGTTTCACTTCATTTTTGCACAGTCACTAACATCAGTGGAGGTGCCAAGTTATCTGAGCCAACCACGGCATGGTTGGATTGTCTCTGGTACTGTACTGGAAACATAATCAGAACTGGTTCCTTTACTTTACTTTTGGTACTGTCTCTCTTCGAAGAATCCTTGGCTACCACTGATTTGACTTAGAGAACTCCCAAATGAGGCACATTACCTTCGTTGTGAGGGAGCATCAGTTATGGCACTACGGCTATGTGGCGCATTTCCCTGAGGGTGATCCGGTTCATTGCTGGGGACCCAAATGGCTGGACCAGGCTGAGGGGACGCCCACGTAACACCTGGCCATTTACAGAGTGTGGGACTGGACTGTGTGTGTGCCTGGGGGGGTCACTGGCCAGGATCCCGTGTGGTGGGTGTGGCAACGCGCAGCATCAGTGCATGCTCCCGAACCTGACCTAACCTTACCTGTTCCTTTACTAGGCTCAAACTTGCATCCATATCCCAAATCCCAAAGCCATTCCTGCATCATGTGCACCTATAGAATGCATTATCAGTGTTACTGGCATGATATTTAGGCCTGACAAATGAAACGTTAGAAATGTGAAATTTCAACAGATAATGATGATGCAAGTGAAAATATGTGAATACAAGAATATAATCAATATAATCAATAACTGGACAATTCCTCTTGAACCCCCACTCCCAGATCCTGGACATTAATGCACCACACTGTACTGTTCAAAGTAATCTGTCTGTTTTCTCCTATTAAGCTTAATTCCCTAATAATTTATGCTACTTCTAAACTCATCGAGCTGCACTCCTGATTCCCTTTCTACAAAGTTTTAAAATCAAGTTCTAAGCTTGTTGTTGGCAGATATTGTTAATGATTCTCTGAAAGAAGGAATTTTTCCACAATGTCTTAAAACTGCTACTGTCAGGCCTTTATTGAAGGCCTTTATTGAAGGTATTGTGCTTAGTAATTATATGCCAATCTCTAGCCTTCCATTTCTTGGTAAAATAAATTTAGAAAGTTGTTTCAGTTGTTGTTGTCAAGTCTGTTCAGTTGATTGATTATGTTAACACAGGTAATCTCTATTAAGTGTTTTCAGCCCAGCATTCAGGCATGCCACAATTCTGAAGCGACTCTTCTCAAAGTGCTAAATTATTTTTAAATAGAGGTTAAACAGAGACTCAGGTAACCTTTCCATTCTTGTTCTTCTAGACATCAGTGCTGCTTTTGTCACTATAGACCATGAGATTCTGCTGAACTGGCTGCACACCAGGGTTGGCTTCTCTTAAACTGGTTCAGATCATATCTAAGTGGGCATTAATACTGTGTTGCACTTGATACCTATGTTTCAAAGCATCAAGCTATTACATGCGGAGTCTGGAGTCAGTTTTAGGCTCTATATTATTTCATGTTTACATGCTACACCTGTCAAGTATAATAAATAAACATAAAACCAGCTTTCATCAGTATGCAGATAACTCACATATCTGTCTCTAGCTCCTGATGCACATGGGGTCTATCCACTGCCTGACTGAATGCATAGACAATGAACTTGATGCCACAAAACTTTCTGCTACTGAACAAAGAAAAAACAGAGATGCTTGTTACTGGGAATGAAGTACAGAGGAAGGACATACTGGTGTACTTAGAATCAATGTCTCTGATGGCCAAACAACAACTTAGAAACCAGGGAATGTTTTTCAATGGTGATCTTAGCTTTAATAGTCATATAAGCAATGTCTGCTTAGCAGCAAATTGTCACCTTCGTAATATCGGCAAAGTCAAGGGTATGCTGTCATTTGATGACTGTGAAAAACTAATACATGCTCTTGTATCAAGTAGAACAGATTACTGTAATGGCGTCTTGTCTCGTCTACCTAGGAAATTTATTTAAAATCTACAATGGGGCCAGAGCGCTGTCACATCACATCAGACCTACTATTTTTTTTATTATATTCCCTCCACCACCCCCCCTCTGCGGAGGACTGCTTTATTTCTATTTAAATATTTATTTTAGGGATGCTCATTTCGATTAATTTTCCCAACCGACAACCGCCGTTCGTTAACCGAACATTTACCGTTAACTGATTAGATTAGAATATTAAATTCCTCTGGGGTCGGCGGTCCCGCCGGCGGGATCTGACAGAAATTTCGCCAAACCATTTAAATAACTCTGCGAGGTTT